TTTTTTTAAATCTCGGGAATAATCCCTCTCGCATTATTAGCGTGTTTTTGTCTCAGATGGAGGAGAGAAATATCATCAGAGAAACATGCACTGGCCTCTCTCAAATAAGCATTTTTAATCTCTTTCATTAGGCCGGCATTACAGCTTCGAGAAACTGATTAGATGTCTCACTCCTGCTGCCTGCACTGATTGTTGTTAATGGCAACCTGTATTGCAGGGGCATTGTCAGACTGAGTGTTTGGCTCACTCCGTTCATGCAAGTCTCTGGAACACATGGTTGATGTAATTACCACTCCATTCAGATCGATGCCGCATCGGTACTGTGATCAGTATTCAGGATTTGAGTTTTCCTTGAAAATGCTCTTCACGTTACCACACAGGTCTTGTGATTGTGAAAAGTGTGTTTATCCAAGTAGGCTTCTTCTTCTTCTCCGATTCAACACCTGAACCTGAGACAACTGTTCCAACCAGGAAAAGCAGAGCTGTGAAAATCTAAATATGGATGTCAAACTTCCAGCTGGGCCCATAAATTAAGAATTACAAACCCCATTTGTTACTTACATTATGTATAAAACATTCCTCTTTAAAAAGTCTACAATAAAATGATCACGTATTAATGCCATATTTATCTAGATTAGGTTGTTTTAACCCTCTGATTGCAGATTTCCAATTGGTGGACCCCAACATTGTTGTTTGAACAATCCAGTTTAAATCAGTCTTAATGATAAAAAATCTAACATCTACAACATTCATTTTTTATGTACTATTGTATGTGTTGCAACATTTCAGTTATGTTATCATTTGTTATGGTTTCATAACTTAAATATCATTTAAGTTCAGGTTGTACAGAGTTAAGAGATATGAGGCATTTGAAGATTCTCCAAGAAATGCAGTGGAAATACAAATGCATATATAATGTGTAAAATACATGAAGGTGCACATCAAGATTTATTTAAGTCACTAAATATGGTCATTTGAGGTCATGTGTGCTGGGTATTTGCAAGACTGAATTAACATTGTCACCATTGTGTCACGAGGATATACTGTATCTGTGAAACCGGCAGGGGCGAGCTATTCTCGATCTAAATAGAACCACAAGCAGAAATCATGAGCCACAGATCTGGTGTATTTGTTACAGGATAATGCCTGTCTCTCTCCCGCTGGTAATTGCAGTGAGTCAGACAGGAGGCGGCAGACCGGAGCTCCAGATGCCCTCTTCTGGGCCAGACCTCCCTCAGGACAGCCTGGTCTTGTCTTGAGCTGCGGTGTGATCCAGAGAGAGGGGGCAGCGGACGAGTGATTCTATTAGCTTAGCCGCTAATAAGAGCTACACCTGGGTCCTTGTTGTCCAGCAGCTCATATCCAGCCCCCCTTCAAGCCAGACAGGCTCCAGGAAGATGAAAAATAAATAATTGGATTCCTCATCATTATATTGAATCTTCTTTGCCCTGTGTATTATGACCTATATCTTTATGTACTCAGGATGGGCGTCTTTTCTCTTTTCTCCGTTCCTTATTTGATTTAACTTAGACATTAAGTTTTTATTCCAGCAGCTACTGTAGTCACTCTCTTTTTTAAAACAAAAGAAGAATGAGCCATCGCACTCCTCTGGTGGCCAATTAAAGTTAACAGATAAACCAGATGCAATTAATTCAGAATTATTACTGTGCATTAGTTTGACTGTGTAAAAGCTCCCATAGCTTATTAACAAGTCACGGGCATAATTCACCACACAGTGTGTTTTGATTAAAATACTGAAATATTGCTTACGAATAACAAATCAAATAAGTGTGGAATGGCTTTGTCCTGTGGATGTATTGAGGAAATCGAGCCAGTCTGGAGCCATTAAATCAGTTACACACTTCCTTATCTAATATTCAGCAATATTATTTATTTAAACAAGTCGGCCTACGTCTTTTTTAACCCATTAGAGGAAGTTGGTATTTTCATAGCTTTTTCTTTTATTACAACTTTATTGAAACCCATATATTTCCCAGATTTCATGTCCCCAAATTACCAAATCTTTTCCCATATCTCCATTTTTCTAACTCACTATAATGTTGATAAAAGTCCTTTTACTTCTTTATTCAAGTGTTTAACTACCATGTTCAATATATTGGACTATATATGAAATGCTACTTCAATTCAATTGAACCACAGACTGTATATACGAAAAACTGCCATCAATGACGTGACTTGGAGCCGTTTAGTTCATGTCCAATCTGCGAGCATGGAGGAGGCGGAAACTTTAACCAGCCACCAGGGGGAAACTAAGATGCCGTGGCTTCACTTTTAGGGAGCTACCATGTCGTCCATCTTCACGTTAAAGTCTGGGCTCTGAACTATGAGAGAATTGTTGAAGCGTACATGTGTGGCGTGCTGTGGATCCACGCTACGATGCATTTGACCATTTATTTGAATGAGTTTCTCTGCACCAGCATGTGTGGCCAGCATGTATCATGACCTTCATTTAAATGTCAGCCAGTCTTTTGTATGGACAACGGCCAATGCATCTCTCCCTCCCCCCCTTCTTTTCTCTCTCTCTCTCTCTTGTGTTTATACTTGTGCGGGACATGTTTGTGTCCCGTGCAGCAGCGGGCCACTCTGAAATGGCCTGATTGACGCCTGACTCCGAGCATCCGTTCCACCTCTTGCTTAGCGGAGCCTGTGCCAAGAGGATTAAAAATGGAGTCCTCTAGGGCCGTGGCATGCCATCTGGACAGGGTTGATCTGGGAGCAGAGTTGTCAGCCAGGACTGCTGAGTGTATAAAATGCTGCATAACTACATTCAAATGCAGCTTTGGAGAATTACATGTTTTTTTTCACACAGAAAAGCATCATTTTCATACGATTTAGTGCTCAGTTTTCACATGTCGCTTTCTTTTCATTCCTCTGACAAGTGAAAAGAGATTATTTGTATTGATTTGATTAATTTTCTGTTGACTATTTCTTCAGTCCGCTGCCACAAAAGAAGAAAAATGGGGCACTGGGTGTGAATGGGGAACTGTCCATGATTTCCAATTTGTTGTTTACTTTGCCTTTAGATTTTTATAGTAAATGAAAAGGAGTAATGTATTGTAACAAGCTATTCTAGAAAATGTGTGAATCTGTCCTGAAAAGGTACAAGGGGGTTTCCCATTCACGAAAGAAAGAGAATTTCGTTTTTTTCCTCGGAGCCATGTCCAACTTCAAAATGGTCAAAATGAAATATAGAGATGACTAAATGGTAATGCCGCAATAACCTTTTCCAAAGAGTGATGTGTGCCACCTTTGATTCCCCCACCATATCAAGGTCCAATTTTAAAGGTTAAAGCTGGTGGTTGAACCTCAATATGCCAAGGAGAGACGAGATGACATCTGTGTTCTGCATGACCAAGTGAGGCGAGAAGCAGAGCATTAAATCATGCAAGACATGAAAATAAGAGAATTTAGGTCACAGTCAGCAACAACTGCCAGACTTCAGAGAAACCCGTGAAGTTTTGATGTTTAGATGATGTAATTCTTTCTCTGTGGTAATATCTGTTGGGAATAGACGGGGGGCTGAGGGGTGATGGGTTTCTTTATTAGCTCTCTCGCTTTGAGAGGTTATGGTATTAGCAGGAACCAGCTGAGGCCCCCCTCATCCACCTGGATTCCCCCTAAACCCCCCGACAGCCCACCCAAGGCCTGTCTGCTTTATCACGTCTTTCACAGCCAACACACATGTAAAGTCACATTTCACCACAACAATATATATTATGTATATGCACACATTCACATTACTGCACGCAGGGATTCCATAAAGTCCTCTAATATACTATATAATATATGATTCTTGAGATTTGTGAGAACTTTACTTGGAATAACTACAGTACTATTTTGTAACATAAAGGTTTGACATTGGTGCATATCAATAAACATTAAAACCATATCAGATATGTGTGTGAAAGGCTATAAATCGCTCAATTTATATCAGTCAAGCTTTACCTCATAAATACAAATAAAGGAGTATCTGTATATAAATACTTATTTAAGGTTAATCTTCCATTTGACCTTTTGACTCTGATTTAAAGGGTTTTTATGCTAATGCTACGAACTTGATACCAAATATATACTGACAAACTACACCACAAATGTTTTTTTCCTGGAGTGACTCTCACATTAACAAAGAAATGCATCAATACATCATTAGAAGTCCCACCACTTTTAAGTTGAGTTACAGTTAAAATAGATTATTTCTCTGTTTCTAAATGCTGTGTTAATGACAAGGCCCCGACGCTTTACTTAAGGGACCAAACATGAAATAAAACTGCTTCTCAACAGCAATAAATTAAAAATAACCCTTGAATTAAAATTTTTGTTCCACGAAAGGGAACCCCCTGTGTGCGTCTTCCAGGAGGTTTGCCACTGGGTATCTACCTACTTAGACGGAGAACCAATTTGCATAACTCCACCACCATACCCTTCACTCCGCCTTCCCCAGAACATTTCTGGATGTCGCCCAAAAATAAGCAGATTTCTTTTCCTTCATCCTTTCCAAGAAAAGATTAATTAACTCACTTTCTACTGCACAGGGGGAGAAGTTCTCGTATTTCAGTTGGTTCTTAAAGGATCCACATGCACACTCGCTCTGGACAAAAGAAATCTATCCAAGCGCCTCTCCGATTAGAATATCCCCGGTGACCACAGCATGCACCACTGGTTCTGTTTGTGTGTGTGTGTGTGTGATTTGGGGTTGTGGTGCTCGCTATAGTTGGACGAGCCCCCAGCGCTCAGGGGACCTGATGAGCTGGGGGTGGAAGGGTGGGGGGGATTGCTGCTACTGCCTAACGCTAATGCAATCACGACTGTCGCTTGCCACTGTTGCCACTGAGCCTGCAGCTTCTCTTGCCCACTCTCCCTCCCTCTCTCTCTCCCTTACACACACTTACTCTCTCACTTACTCGCTCACTCTCTAATACATGCACACACACACACAGCTTCCCTTCTCTCACTTCTCCGCTCGCGCTCTCTCTCTCTCTCTCTCTCTCTGTCAGTCGTCGTTCTGTTGCCGCACGGACACGCTCCACACTTTGGTGTGTTTTCTCCGGCTATTCCCGAAGCTGTTGTCTCAGTACCTCGCGCAGCTCTTGCACCAGCGACCGGCATCTGTTCCATTTCAGCGTGGGCTCAAACTGTACACAGAGAGCGGGATAATGAAAGAAAGGCGTCAAAGAGGAAAGCAGGGAGAGAGAGGGAATTAAAAGAGGAGTAAAAACAGCAAAGGAAAGAGTCTCCTTCTCCTATTGCGTAAAAGGTGGGAGGACAGTTTGATTCAGTGAATATTTGGATTAAACTGGCTGCGTCTCTGCTCTCTTGTGTCCCACTCAAGGTAAGCTTGTGTATCCTTCTCTAACCTATTCATACTCTGCCTGCAGGCGTTTCGCATGCATCCTGCTTTTCACCTTCAGAGACATTTAACTGATTTCCAGCAACTGAGCGTCACAGCACAGAAGGAGCTCTGTTCACTTTGTGTGACTGGTGTGTGATTCTCTATGCAAACACAGCTGAAGCACTTATTTCTAACAGCTCGTTAAGAGTGATGAAACGGGGGAAGAGCTGTGTCCTTGAGCGTGTTTCAGCTAAAGGAGTTGTGAGGAAACAAGACTGCTGTTTCCGCACACGCTCGAGCAGTTGTGTTTCTCTCTCGTGGGCTTGCTGTTGTGGTTTGACGACTCAAGTGAAGATGCACTAAGTGTCAATTAAAGCAGATCGGTTCACATGTCAAGCAACACTTCGCTCTGTGAATGTGATGACCCCATTTATAGAGTTATTTTAGTTCATCTGCATATGAAAGGCGATGTAGCTCTTCAACTCCGTGTTGGAGAGTGTTCAGCGCTGATTATCACACCATGGCACGTCAAGTGGTTTTGGCTTGTTGATCTAAGCTGTGCGTGAGGTGCAAACATTTCCCACCACATTTCATTCTCTCTTTAAACATTACTGAAAATGGAAACATTATTCATTAACAGTCTGGTCCACATGGAAATAATGGCTTCAAGGACGGCAGGATGTGTTCACTTTAAATGTATCACATAGAGCAGTGTCTGTTTACACAGTGCAGTAATGAAACAGTGTTTTCAGTGGAGAGTTAGGACACAGAGGGTCTGACGGCTCAATCACAGCCTCCAGATTATTCCTCTTGTTTGCATACACTGTATATGAGCAATTGTATTAGTGGGAAAGGCCATTCTCGTGGTTTGGAGAGGGATTAGAGGGAGGATATCAGAGAGGGCTGACAGAAATCAGATTTGCTGAGAAACGTGGGATCACAGATGCAACCTTGCCCCCATTCCGCAGCAGCAGATGCTTATTCAGATGAGCCAGAGAGGAAACGTAAGGGTTCAGAGTATAGACATGTACCCCTGAGCAGTGCTGAGCTACATTTGCTATTAACTTACACACTTGATTGTTACATCAGCAGCCCCACTGCAAGTTATTACAACATCACATTTGCATCTCTTCAAATGTTCCGAGGCAACGTGATATCGAGAGTTCTGATGCATCAAATGCATCTCACATCTGAGCAACTGGCAGTTGAGACAAACACAGTCCGATGACTGCTGCCACTTTGAAGACTTTTAAACCAGCGTGCATTTCTATTCTTAAACCCGGCACACTGCAGATTACTCACCTCCTATTCTCAGTAACATGATTGTGTGTAACGTTATTTCAGTCTGACTGAAGAGATACCTTGTGAATGCTAGCACCGCTTTTCAAAGTCAATCCCGTCTTCACTTACAGATAAGATAAAAAAAAAAAAAAAAAGCTCTTGCCTTCCACTGCTTTAAGCACATCTAATGTAACTCACTTCAGTGTCAGAGGCAGAGTCCTCTTATCAGCATCCCGCTGAAAACACCTGCTTTGAAATAATCAAATTACGCTGCAAGGAGTCCACTTCCACAGGAAAAGAGGAGCTGGACGCTCCGAGAGTACACAGAGGCTACTGTGCAGAAAATGAGCATTCAGAGAATGAAGCCACCGACCAGCCAGGTATCATAACTGCATTAGACGGGATAAAAGAAGAGCCATGCATGTGATATTCTCCATGATGGAAGTGTTAGAGCCTGGTTCAGGTGCCCATCGTAACGGAAATTCAATTTATCTGAGGACAGAATGAGGCAGGAGAAAACATGTTTATCGATTTCACTTGTTGACTTACTTTTTTATATTAACACAACTTTCTGTAATTTGTCGACTGTTGTAGACGTTCAGTATTGCTCTTAGAAGATGAAAGCTTCTCTACAAGGACAGGAAGCAGCCGTCTATTGTATTGCATTATCCTGAGCAGTGTCACGCCAGATTCCCTTTCACACTGTACCACACTGCATTCAGGTTGAATCAGGACTCAGTGGAATCATCTGAGCGACTTTTTAACAGCTACATTTAATTAAACATCTCCGCACTCAAGTTTGATTATTTTTTAGGATTCACTAAACACTGTGCCAAAAATTAGCTGAATTATTTTTACCAGCTCATAAATGTCATTTTATTAAGCAAATGTTCATGATTCCATCTGTGACCAATGAGATTCAACTCATATTCTGTGCATTTTCCAGTCTTAACATTTCTGTCAAGCGGAAGAAACCTGTGGACAAAGTAAAACATGATGTTAGACTTCATCGTTTGACGTCTATAAATCTTTAACACTTGTCATGTGGTTGTAAAGTCGACCCACAAACTGTGTGCATGTATATTGAATGGCAGGACAGGGAGCTTTGTGTCTGAATTAAAGCTCACGTCCGCTCAGCTGTCAACACATCTCTGCGTCTGTTTGATTGGCTGAGCTGTTATTTATGGACGCTCCGTAGCCTTTATCGTAAGCAGAACTACAGCGATCAGTCATAGAGATGTGCCACCTATCATCGCATTTCGCAGCAAGTGTCCATCAAGAGCCTTGGGCTTAAACAGAATCAATACCTGAGATTATTTGAAGTCTCCAGACTCTCTTTACCGTGGGCTCTTCAATCTCCTCCCCCACTCGATGGACTTGACATCATTCCGCACTAAACGAGGTGCGTCCTACAGCGCCCATACGTGTATCTCAGAGTGTGTGCGTATGTGTGCATGAAAAGTGTGTCCGTCTGTCTGTAATTCTGCAGCACCATGAGATGCAATACGGTAACGGACAGAAGATTGCAAATGCAAATCAGACAGTGGATTGGGTTTGTTCCGTCTGGTTTCAAGGCCAATCTCAGCTGGAACTATTGTACTTGTGTGAACGTGCTTTGTGTCAGGATTCTCCCACATTCAGCAAAGACCCCCGCAGACCTCTAAGACAAGGTTCTCCGCTGCTCTCACACAATCATCAGCAAGTCCTAAACATCCCAAATTAAAGTCTTACAGTGATGGATGACTCTCAATCTCCAGGAGATATTGCACACGCTTCTGCTCTGAATGATGGGCAACTCCTCCCCACTCCACTCAGCAATTATTTATATAGATTTGTCTCTGTTCGTTTGTCAGTTTTTGGGACACAGTGTTTCTTCCTCCCAGTGGTAGAAATACCCCACGGAGATTAAACCTCAGTTTCTGTAGGCTACTAATGTTGAAGCTTCTCTAGAAAGCAAACAAATATTACCTTCCCTGTGGTAAATGTCTGTTGTTTGAAGTAGCACTGGGAAGCAGGAAGAAAATACCTGAAGAGTGTGCTATGTGACAGAGACTTGACTTTGAATGTATTCATACATACTTC